GACTCACTTATATTCTTGGGGTCTTACTACAACAAAAGAGTTTAGAGTTGAAGGGACAGAGGATAGAAGCAAGTGGAAAGATCTGAACTTGTGATGGAATAATGAAAATTATAAGTGCCCAAAAAGGTTCAACTAATTTCTTGGTTGATGATACTAGGAAAGATATGAATTACCTGTGATGCGATTCCGAGGAAAAGTATGTATGTATGTGCACATATATATATATATATATATGTGTGTGTGTGTGTGTGTGTGTGTGTGTGTGTGTTTGTGTGTGTGCGTGTGTGTGTAATCTTGGAAGGTGCGCTCTGTATAGCCAGATTGGGAGACTCAAGATTACATTTTTCTGTTATTCATTTGCAACTCAATTATGTTCAAGTTTTGCTGCGGTCCTCAATTCAAAGCTCCTTCTGATTGATTAAGATTATTGGGATGTGGAGGAAGAACTGCTTCTGTGTGTCGGTGGTCCATATTGTTGGAGAGAAACAATAGGATTTAATGAATTAGTCCATTTTAAAGTGTTGGGATAAAGTTTTATTTGCGTGTACTGCGACTTCGTGGGTCATAATATTTAAAATCTTCAATCATTGTTTGTCTATGGTAATTCCTTGAGAGAGTAAATATTTGCTTTATGATGATATTTCTTATCCACATGTTGTAACTAATATTCAACATAAACAAATTATGTGTTTCTTATATAAAAACTAATATATAGAGTTAAAGTTTCTTAGTGTTACCAAGTTATCTACTTTTGTGATCTTGTCTATTAAAAAAAAAAAAAGGAAATGCATATGAACTAGAGATTCTGTAGACATTATTCAATTGACTCTCCGAAGTCAAAGCATCTGTTTATTCAACCGATTAGTTTAGGTTTGGATATGTTAAAGCTAATGTTAGAGTTTGATACTTTGGATCAAAACTGGCTATGAACTATCCATCGTGTCCATGCTGAGAAAGTTTGAAATGTATATGTCATTTTTCCTTTGAGGAAATGTTACGTGTTCTGAATATGACCCCGTGTGTTTGATTGGTGATTTTTTTCTGCAGGAATATGTCAGGGTTTTACAGAAGAAATTTCCAGAGAGTAAACGAGTTGGTAAGTTTGAATTAACTGATAATATATTGAATCTAATCAGTCTCTATGGCCACAGTTTGTTCCATTATTTCAGCAATCACATACAACTAAAAGCTTGGGATTTATTCGGCATATATATTGCAGAAGGCAATTATTATGTGCCTATGCATAATAGGTTTCTTCATTTATTTTCTGAAAGCAAGCAGTTAATGAGATTTCTCGATCATTGAAAGCAATTTGAAATTCTTAACTGTTAAATCTTGGCAAAGGAGTCTTATAATTCAGCTGGACCCAATTTGTGATCTTCGAAAACAAGAAACCAAGCCTTCACGTATGTCTCCACTTATGGTCAGAAATAAACGTTAAATGGTGGCCAGATTTTTTTTTTTTTGGCCCCAATCTGATGGTCTCTGGCTTCTTATTTAAGCTGTTTTGGCTTTCATAACATCGTGTTTTCGTCTTCTTTGCTTCTGCCTTTTGTCATGGTATTATATATATCATGTGTAAATCCATTACATAGGCTCAAGTACTCTGTTAGGCTATGTTGATGCAAATTGATGCTCACAAGGCCATGTTTAGTTCAATCTCTTTAATTTTTCAGGTCTGGTTTGGTTCTTAGTATGCATAACCCTTTAGGAACTAAATGTTTTCACTTTTCAAGATAATCAATTATCACTGCTTATTTTTCGCTGTACGGTTTCTAATTATTCATTGACTTATTACGTGAAGAAGTAATAATCCGTTTAATTTTTTTCTTATTTTTTTTGCATCTACAGGTAGGCTTGAAGCAATGTTGCTTGAAGCTCAGGGAAAGTTGGCAGAGGCTGAAAAGGCTTACTCGAGCCTGTTAGAGGAAAACCAATTTGATCAGGTAGGTTGTAAACCAGTTGTTATTTAGTTCAGGACTCGAATACTTATGTTTTTATTTTATTTAGGTCAAGACTCAAATATTTATGTGTGTTTTTATTTTTTATTTTTTCTTTTCTATATCTGGTTAATTTCCCCAATCTCTTTTGTAAAATGTTATGCAGGTAATACACAAAAGAAGGGTGGCAATTGCGAAGGCTGAAGGGAATCTTTCACAAGCAATCGAATGGTTAAACAAGTATCTTGAAATGTAAGCAAAATTGAAAAGAGTTATTATCTGGAGATTTTAAAAAGCAATATTTGTTGACTGTTTGTTTGGTTGTTACACAGATTCATGGCTGATCATGATGCATGGAGAGAGCTAGCTGAAATTTACGTCTCTCTACAAATGTGAGTTTTTCTTTATCTTTCTAGAGTTTTTCATGTTACTTTTTCTTTTGTAACTCTTTTTTTTTT